GTGAACAAGTGAAATTAGACGATTTACAAGTGGAAGTCAGCAATTTACAACAAAAATTAGGCAATTTACAAATAACATAATAGAAATCACAATCCCAAATGCAAGTGTTTAAGTGCAAATGAGCAAATAAAATTTGAAGATTTACAACAAAAGTTTATAGATTTGCAAGTACAACAAAAGTTTATAGATTTGCAAGTGAAATTGTTGAATTTCACTTGCTCATTTACACTTAAATACTTGTATTTGGGGTTGTGAGTTCCATTATGTTATTTGTAAATTGTCTAATTTTTGTTGTAAATTGCTGACTTCCACTTGTAAATCGTCTAATTTCACTTGTTCACTTACACTCAAACACTTACATTTTGGGTTGTGAATTCTCTTGTGTTTGCCAAATTTGGGTTGTAAATTCATAAACTTTTATTGTAAATTTTTAAATTTTATTTGCTCATTTGCACTTAAATACTTGCATTTTGGATTATGACTTCTATTATGTTATTTGTAAATTGCCTAATTTTTGTTGCAAATTTATGAATTCCACTTGTAAATCGTCTAATTTCACTTGTTCACATACATTTGGACTGTTGCGTTTATTTTGTTATATATAGTTTTATTTGCATGTTATGATTGAATGGGTTGTTTGGCTTGGTGGTTATAAGTCTTTTGGTGTGCCAAGGGGTCCTGGGTTCAAACCCTCCCTTTGCCACTTTGTTTTAAACAAAAAAAACTCTGGCCACCGGAGGTCTCGTCGGAGTTACTGTTCCGGCCACCGGTGACCGGACCTCGACGGCGGCCACCTAAGCGCCGGTGGCCGGACCTCCGACCTCCGGTGGCCGAAACAGTAACTCCGGTAAATATTTATTTTTTAATAAAATAAAAAGGGAGGGGTATTATTGTAATCTCACTCTAAAAATTAATATCAGATTGGTCCCTTGGTCCTGCAGTGAAGTTTCAGAAAGTTTTGGGAGCTCTTTGATGTTAATTGTCTTCTGCGGTCCTACAATGAAATTTTCCCTTTTTTTTTCAAGGTGAAGATTTAGCATCAACTGTAATAAAATCATTGCTTTTATGCTTTCCAAAGCCATGGCTACTCTGAAATCAACCTCATCGTTTACATCTTTCAAAACTTCTCAAGAGCTTCTCCTCTATGTATATTACTTACTATATTTTTATGCTATACTTTTGTTTTTATAAAAAGTACTAAACTAAGAGTGAATGACGAAATAATAGATATGTGGACAGAGTTGTTTTTGTGTGTAAGAAAATGGCATTAGGGTTATTAACTAGGAATGAAGTAGATAACCTGAAGAAAAAAAAAATGGATCACATATGGACCTACCAGCTTAGCATATGTGGTTAGTTAATGGTCAAACTTAACATGGATAACAGCGAGGAAAATATTGCTACAATTTAAAACTTTTGGATACCCAACGCTCTTGAGTAAAACGTTTCGGGGCAAATTTGCACATTAACTCAAAGAAGATAATGATATGAATGACATATGGACCTGCCAACTCAGTATAGTTGGTCAACTAATGGTCACACTTAACTTAAATAATGGCCAGGGTGACATTGCTGCAATTTGAAAACTTCTAAGGTGACATTGAGCCAAAAAATACTTCCCGATACCCAGTGCTCCTGAGAGCAAACTTTCAAGATGAATTTGCACATTATCCCATAAAATAATAATGACTTATTCATATTAATTCAAACTAATTAGAATTACAAAGGCAAAACCAATTCTAATTAATCAAATTAAATTAATGACCAACACTAATTAATTTATTTTTCCATCAATTTTAATCAATAAAAATTTGTTTAGGCTTTTTGAATAATGAACTTACCAAGTCATAAAATTCAACCATATTTTTATTTATTTATTTCATACTCTCATTTTATTTCTTTTTTTAAAAAAAAAACCAAAGTACTCTTATTTTAATCAGGACATTACAAATTTATGAACCCAATCCTTAGAAATAAATTGAATCATATTGGCTAATAAGATTACAAATTTCAAATAAAAAGTAACATATAAAAGTCATTATATCAACAGGTATTTATCGTAATAAAAGTAGCTATAATAGCTTGAGTGGCATAATTCAAATTTGAGTCTACCTAAATATAAAAGATAAATTGAAAGAGCTATCTCTATTTAGGTTTGATAAATTAATTTGACCTAATAATACCAAGTATCAAATGTTGAATAAAAGAGCTTTTTATTTGGGTTTAATGTTTACTATATTTTTTCCATATATATTTTTTCTTAATAGATTTTCATCGTTCAATTTCGTACATAAAAAAGCTGGAACCTGCATTATATTAATAATTAATGATATCAAAGTCCAGAAAAACATACATGACATGATAACATTTACCATACGATATGAATATATGAAGAGTAACATTCATAAAAAAAAATTGCTACAATATTTTTTTTTTACTTTTATAAGTTATGAATAAGTTATATATTATATATTATTATATTATTTTTAAATTTTTAATCGTATTATTTAAGAGGATTCAATTTAATGCTAAATTGGGATTATAAGGCATGCAACAGAATAATAGTATGAAGTAAATAAATAAATAACCATTAAACTTTATATTCCCTCTGTCCTTTTTATAAGCAACAACTATCATCCCTCTCTTGTCTCTAAATATAAGCAACATTTACAAGTTGTTTTAAATTTTTGTAACAAATTTCCTATTTTACCCCATTAATTACTTATTTTAATATTTAATATATTTATTATCTCATTTTTCAAATTATTATCTTTTTCCATCACACATTCTCTCTCTTTCATAATTCCCTTTATCATAATAAATTTTTATTCTATTTTCTACTCTCTCTCCCCCATAAATAAGAGTATTTTGAAAAAAGAATTTTTAATTTTTACCTATTTGTTGTCTTTAACTAACTTTTTCATTTGCATAATGGAATCCCATGTTACTTATAAAAAGATATAGAAGGAGTAACTTTAATAGGCTCATTATTCCAAAAAGCCAAAAATAAGAGTTTTGTTGATTAAAAATTGATGGACAAATAAATTAATTAGTATTAATTATTAATTAAATTGTATTAATTAGAATTGCTTCATGCCTTTGTAATTCCCATCAGTTTGAATTTTTGATAATTTCATTGAAAAATAGGATAATTATAGGATGCAGTGAGAGAGAATATAGGATATTTAATTAGGGACAAATTATTATTTTTAAACTTATATTTTAGCAGTTGGTCTTTCTAAATAATTACAGTTTTTAAAATCCTTTCCCATAAATATTATTTAGAATAGGCCCCTCTCTAATGCTCCCTAGTTCTTGTAGTTTATCAGAATTTGGATATAAATTTAATGATATTACCTTTGCTAATATGGTGTTGACACTATTAACTATTAAGCATCAACTATTAACTACAACTAATGTTGCTTAAACGTGGGAACCAAAATCAAAATTCTTTTTTTCCCCCAAAATCAAAGATACAAGAATTGCAACAAGAAGCAACATCTAAACTTAGTTTCTTTTATCAACCTCCTCTCGCTTAAAGAAGGTGGTTGATCTAGAATATAAAAGTTATCTTTCATGTGATGGAAAAGTTTAGCTAAGTAATCAACAGTAGGAATAAAATCTGTAGGAGAATGTATCAGTACAACCTTCCAAAATCATAATCCTTTAAAAATATAATGATTAAAGCCAAAAATCATTAAAAGTATAGACAACAAAATCAAAATTTCTTAAAAAAGTATGTATCAGGAGCTGAGTTTACAACAAATGGTTGAATAGGACCAATGTGTGATACCAATATACCATTCTGGAAATTTCTCTGGGCTATCTCGCTTTCTCCGAAACACTTGCTTTTAATGTGGAATTTATTTAAGAAAGCGCCCCCATCTGAAGTTGTCCAACATCATCATATCAGAGCTCATAATTTTTGTTTATTTGGCCGCGATGCTGAGGAATATATCCTTGGGTCGTATCTCTTTTGGGTGCCACATTACTCGAGCGGCTTGGTTTGGTTGCCTTAACATAAGGTCTCCGTCTGGAAATATTGATCAATCATTGCACTAGCTCGAATCTGCCCTCTTGAATCTCCAGCGAGATCATCTAAAGCATTATCATCCTCATTAACCCGCTGTGGTGTAAATTAAAAGAAATTTCATTTTGGATAATGGGTGGACACTTACCCCAACAAAGCTCATTCAAGATGTCTTTGGACCACTATCGTTTACTGATCTTGCCTTTTGAAGCTCACATTCGAAGCCTGGCCTCTTCCTTCGAATAAATTAAGTGTGAAACAAAGATCAGTGCCCGTGGAGTATTCTACTGTCCAAAAAGAAAGTTGATCCGCAGGTTTACCGTTTATATATATCTGTCTCTATGATCTTTCTTTGCAGACTTTGAACTGGGAACGTACTTGGGTCAGCAACCAGAAATTTCCAGTTTGCCGTCTCAGAGCCTCGCTTTATTGGATCTTCAACTCCAGTCTCTTAAATCATGAGCTCAAATCTTTGCACATTGCTTCTGCTGGAAAGGATGCTCTCAACCTCAACAAATTGAACGCTCATCAGACTAATAAGCTCTTATCTACTTTCAATCGTGTTTCATTTGATATCATAGACAGGAAAACCTTTAATAATCTTGGCTCTCTTATCGTTTCCTGTTATAGCGTTTAATATGTAATGACCTTTTTTGTATTAATATCATTTTGCCTTTATCTCAAAAAAAAAAAAGTGGTCCGTGTTACAATTCGAATAAAATTCAATTCATAAAGCAGCAACTCCAGTTTAATTATCAGGCAAAAAAAAGGTCCAGTTTAGTTAATTGCAAGGGGCAGCAAATTTTAAGATCCACTGAGGTAGGTAACTACCCAGATAAATCCTCCCTCGATTTCATATGCATGCTAAATGATATTCTTATTCCAATCCTTAGAGGCTTATCCAAGCCATAACTTCACACGCAAATTTATTGATCCAATTTTATATGCCTAACAAGCTAAGCAGCAGAGGTAATAGAAGCAAATCAACTGTGTTGAAAGTACAGGGTAAATATTACAGCACAAGAACACCAAGCATATATATATATATATATATATATATATCACAATTTCTTGCAACCTGAGCAAAGACAATACATTTTATTTTTTTTTGGTCTGCCTTTTACTTACAAACCATATGCACAAGCACGTACGAATGCCCTCTGGGACATGGTTGGAATCAACAAACAACTTATAATGTTTTGTGTGTTCTGAAATGGTGTGTAAATGAAGAAGGACGGGCTGACAAAAGGAAATGGAATTAGAAGGAGAAGTTCAACAACTCCATGCTCAAGCTCTCCATCATCACGTTCTCCATGAACAATCCGCATTTGGCTGGAGGCTTCTTGAAGCTGAAGCTCTGGCCACGAGGCTTGAAGGAGCAGGACGAGATGGGGAGGATTGGGATGTTCTCGCAGTTGCAGAGCTCAATCATGTAGCCATCTGGGTCGTGGAAGAACACCTGATCCACCTTGCTGTCTTCTTCATCCCCCTCCACCACCGCCGTCACGTACCTCATCCCCAGCTCCTCGAGCCTCCTCTTCACCAGCTCCACGTCCGTGCACTGGAAGGAGATGTGGTTATCCCTTGGGTTGATGGGCCGCACTTCATTCATGCACGCATCAAACACATCCTCACTGTCTGGATTCTCGATCAGGTGAATCCCAATACCGTAATTGTACAACCTGTGCCACAAATATCATGGATGGAGATGATGTATATTGGTCTGAAATAAGCTAATTGATAAAAGGGAAGATATGGAGAGACAGAAAGAGCGCAAGCTAGCTAACCAGGCGCCGTTGAACTTGAAAGAAGAGGGACGCTTGATGAGAACGAAGCCCAAAACGTCTTCATAGAACCTCACAGAGTCCCACACGGATCTGCATAACAGGGACACATGATTCAGCGAGAGCAGGGGAAGTGCTTCCTGGCTGCCTATTTCCTCGATCTCCATATTGCTCTCTCTTTATCTTTGAGTTTGCTGTGAATGCTATTGCCAGATTTAGTTCTTATATACACCAGCAATTCGTACGGTCATATTCAGCGGGAACTTTCCACGAAAATTCTTTTGATCCATGGAACCATACATAGGATGATGATGCTGCGCCATACTACTCATTAGCACATACATGTCATAGAATTAAGCTCGATTTTTCATGCTCTGTACTTGTTTGTTCGCTTCTACTCACAGCACTCGATATTTAGTCGAGCACACCCACTCCCAAAACGCTGAGAAATTTCTCCGATGCTTCCCACTAATTTCTAGGAAGCCCACTAGAGTCTTTCTATTCTGTTACTTTTTACCCCTTGAACTCAGTACCTCATTAAAAATCAACGCAACAGATCATTACAATCTATATATATGTAGAATGTCCATGATGTGCTCATTTCATTTCGATTACCCTCCATTCCGAGACGAATAATCAAATTACGTTGATAAAAAAAATAGTTAAAATTAGTTAAGAACAACTAATGTGTAAAAGTATAAATTTTTTTTCAAAAAATACCCTCATTAATAACATGAGAAAACAATGGTAAATTATTAAAGATGAGAAGTAGGAAGGAGAGAGTGTGTGAGTTGAAAACAATAAATATAGGTAAAATAGGAAATCAACACAAAAAAATAAAGACAATTTTGGTCTCTTATATATAGGAACATGCCATGAACATCAAATGTCTCTTTATAAAATAGTATATTCTAAACTAAAATAAAATTGAATTGAAGTGATTTAATTTAGTTTTGGTCCGTTTAGTTCAATTTTACCTTTTGGATATATTTAGGCAAACCGTATGTTAGTTAAAATATTCAAAAATATTATTATTGATAGCATAATGCATCTTTCAACCATTACCAATGACTAGCTTTTTCTGCATAAGCAACACCATCTAAATGATTAAACCAGTGTGTAGAAATTGAAAGCTCTTTAGCACTCAAAACTATAGGTGTTCAGCTTGTCCTGTCCTGATCAGTCAGAATGGGACGGGAAGGGTAAAAAAAATTTTAAGATGGGACTACTATGGGATGGGACGAGATGCAAGACGGAGTTGTCCCGTCCTGTCCAGAGTAATTTTTTTAAAAAAATTATCTATTAATAATTATTATTAGATTATTCAATGCATTTATTAATAAAATAATTATTATTTTTATAGTGATTTTCAACTCTTAAGTTGCAGTATTATCTCAATAAAATCACCTTCTCAATAAAATAATTTATAAAACCATTATGTAATGTTTCTTTTACGATATTATTTTTACAGTGTGTTTTTACATCTTTTTTATACTATATAATTGAACTTTTACATAATTTTTTTATGATGTTTTTATCTTTAGAAGCTCAAAAAAATAAATATTATAACATAAAAAAATTTATACAAAAAATTATAATTTTTTTTTAAGAAAGGGAATAGGACGTCCCGTTCCCGTCTCGGTTTTGTCCCTGTCCCGAAGGATCCGGACAGAACTAGGATGGGACGGGATACAGACAAAAATCCCATCCCATTCCTATAAATCAAGACAGGCCTGTCCCAGTCTGTCTCGTCCTGTGAATAGCTCTACTCGAAACAGCAGAGTTCAAAACCTAATCACAATCCAAAGGCTTACGTTCAAAAGCAAAAAAAAAAGGAACAAAAACTTCAAACTTCTGCTGCTAGCATATATCTAGCGTTTCAATGCATTCATGGGTCGAGTCCAAACAAGATCCACTATCCGTTTCTTGAGCTTCTAAGGCTGCATGTTGCTTTATCAAAAGAAAAAATGACTCTTCAAATGTTCAATTATATACTGGCCACGGACAGGCCCATGATCGTTCCAAGGTCTAGTGCCAACAAGTTTCTTCATCGAGATGTATAGGCTGGTGAGTGTTGGAAGATCATTGATATATTACTTGTAATAATACTTATAACTAGGAGGGTACTATTATATATGGCATATTACAAATAATATAGTCTCGTTAGTGGCCTAAATGGATATATAGCGTATATCGAGCTTGAATGGTTCTGGGGCTTCCAAAACACGGTGTCTTCAACTGTTTTTGGCTCTGAGCCTCTCACTAAACCCATTTACTCTAGATACATTTCTCAATTGGCAAATTCTAACGACAAGCCGTTGTTTCTTCGTTGACACATTAGCCCTTGTAATTTACTTCACTCTTTGTTTTTTTTTTCCTGATATACTGGAAGGCATCACTCTTTTTTGGTGATATTGTGTTTTATATTTCTAATTCTAAACGTCCTCCCCTTTTTTTTTTTTCGAATGCACTTGGAGCTTGATGGCTCTGGTTTTAGAAGTTTGTAAAAGAAAATTTTTTCTCCCTAGAAATAATTTTAGGCATTCTTTTTTAACTATTTTTTCGAATGCATTCTTTCTAATTTTTAATTTTTTTTTAACTCAAAGTATGAAAATATTCAATGCAAATTCTATACTCAAGTGACACCCAAATTTGTCCAATACTTATATCAATGTCCACTGCTTATACTCAAGTTTACCGTTTGACCTGATACATAGCAAGGACAGAATTTTCGCCCTCACGCAGATGGAAAAGCTTCCGACTTTTTTTTTTTTTTTTTTGGGGATAAAGTAAACAAAATGACACTAACTAGTTAGAAGTTTTACCAAGAACTCAAATGTGGTAGGATCACCGTGGCCTCCTTGTCCTTGCCTCTGCATTGCCTCACAGTTTCAAGCTAACAATTTATATGACCTTCTGATTCTAATGCTTGTGGTGAGAGAAAGATTTTGAATTTTGAATATGAGATGAGAGATAAGGACGGCGAAGACATGGGTTAAAGTCTTAAAGACATCTAAGATGCGAAAGGGATCTGGGGAGGGGAAAGATGATCAGAGGAACAATTAAAGAATCTGAGCAAGTTTTTCTTTCTTTCTGAAAGAAAATTGTGAAGAAGAAATTATAGCCTTGGGGAAAGGAAAAGGAGAAGAGGAAGTCTATTAGTATTTGCTGAAGACAGAAAGACAAGAAAAAACTGGAAAAGGAGAGGGCATATAAAAGGCGGCAGAATAATTTTAGGGGGAACAAAAATTGATGTGACAAAGGATCCCTTTTTGAGAAGGGAAAAAGTTAAGACCAACCGGGCCTGCATTCGGTGCTCATCACTTGATGAGCACCCAGTGCTCATCAAGTGATGAGAAATCTGGACCGTCCAGATCTAATCTGGACGGTCCAGATTTAATACTTTAAATAATTATTTTAAAAAAAAAAATTATTTTTAAAAAATATAATAGTTAAGAGATTATCTTTATTTTTATTCTATACCTATTAAAATAATTATTTTTAAAAAATAAAGAATAAAAATAAAATAAAATCTGGACCGTCCAGATCCGATCTGAACGGTCCAGATCCTGATGAGCACCCAATGCAAATTCAGACCAACCCAAGGAGATTGGCTAAATGACTTGAAACGCAGATTTTTTTAATATAAATAAGAGTATCAAATTATGAATAGTAACTTTGTGAGGGGAGCCAAACATTAACCATTCTATGTGTTGGCTTGGTGGAAGAGTATTTAATGTTATATTGATGATTTAAAATACATTCGATAGAAGCTGGATCCACATTGCAGAGTGTTCGTTTTTGTTGATTTCCATTTCTGGGCTTATCGTGTCCATCCCAGCCCAACACAATTAACAATGGGTGAGATTTGTTTATGACGTGGCGCAATTTGAATAATTAGATTCAGAGTGATGTAAAAAAAAAAAAAAAAGTTTCAGAGTGGTTTTTCTGAAAAAAATATTATACTCGTATCTAATTTTATTTGTTCAAATGAAAAAGTCAACAGATTAGATTTTTGGTGAGGATTGACAAGGCCACTTAAGAAGATGTTTGGGTGTAAATAAAATTATAATTTTAAAAACAATTTTATAATATACAAAATAAATATATAAGAAAAATTTTGAAAACACTTTTTAAAAATCTAAGCCATTCAAACACCTTCTAAGTATTGAGTTTCAATTTTTTGATTCAGCAACTGCGAGGTTTGATATCTCGGGAGAAACGACGTCGCTTGGGAGCGAAGGAGGGGCAGCGGATATAATGGGGACGGAGAGAAGTCAGTCGCCATTGCATTGCTGCCTGATTGACCAAGCTCTTCCTGGTTCTTTCGTCATTCCCTTATACTCTTCTTCCCCCATTGCGTTGCGATTAAGGTACGGTCCATCTCACACTTAGCGATAGGAAACATCTTTTTTTCTTTTTTAATTATGATTATGATAATCGATTGTTTGCTTGTATTTCGGTTGCCGAAAACGCGGGTAGGTTAGGAAGGAAGATGAAATAACAATCTTTCTTGCTTTTGTGCTTTTGACGAATCAAGCGGAGATCTTGATTGATCTGTTTTTTATCCCGCAATTGTCCTCGTCCTAGCTTTTCCTGTGCATCTTTGTTCATGATTGTCTCCTTTTGTTTGATTAGTTGCTGCGAAGGCGATTGGTATCGAATTTAGGGTTTGAGAAAAAAGCTTCCGAAGATATTTGTTGGCCTTTACTCGCGGAATCAGATGGCTCGCGGCTGCGGCTGCAAGCGAGTGGGGCAATTAGGAGCTAATTCAGGGATGAGCTTGATTGGCTTAGGAGCTTTTGGGACTTCAAAAGCATCGTCTTCATTGGATAGAGTATCTTCGGCTCTTTTGCCTCTGAATAAACCAATTTACTCTAGACACATTTCTCAACTGGCGAATTCTAACGGAAAGCGATTGTTTCTCGTTGACACATTAGCTCTTGTAATTTGCTTGACTCTTTCTTAGTCATTTAAAAAAATGCTCTCGAAACTTGATAGATTCTAACTTTTAGACGTTTGCAGAAGATTTTTCTTTTTCTAGAATTTTTGTTTCCTTTAGGCATGATTGTGGCATCCTGTCATTGTTCAGGTTAGGAGATTAGAAGGGCAAGGCTTGCCCTCAAAGCAGGCGGAGGCTATAACTGCTGCCATAACTGAAGTTTTGAATGACACTATGGAAAATGCATCCCAGTCATTTGTTTCAAAAGGAGAAATACAAAAAGTAAGATCCTCAGCTGCCACATTAAAATTATTTTCACTTTGCAAGTCTTATCATTTGAACCAAATCAATTTTTGTCCAATACTTATATTTATGCGGGATTTTCCTCATGTTTCTCTAATATGTTCTTCGGCTCAAAGTGTGAAAATATTCAATACAAGCTCTAATATTAGCTGATATGGTTCTCTTTTATGTCTTTCAGATTGAAATGATTCAAGAAGCCAATGTTTCAAAGTTCAAATCGGAAGTCCAGAGTTCACAGGTACTCATTAATTATGTAGAATTAGTATTATTTACAAATTTAAGGGCATCTGGGTAGATGTGGATTATGCAAATAATAAAATTGCTGTGAGATAGATTGGAAAGAAATTTTATCATACACTGTTGTCAATGCTGAAGATGTATTAAAGACATTTGTTGTTGGTGTATTGTTGCAAATGCTAATTACTCATTCTTCTATTTTCTAAGCAGCTGCAAAACATTCTAATGCTGCTTTTGGGCTGAGTTTCCAAAAAGTGAATGGTTATCTGATCTAATTATCTAAATCATAAAATCAAATGGATTGCCCGTAACTTTTGAATTGTCATGTATTTTTCAACTGTGATAATTGCTGGTTTTCAGTTAAGAGATGACTCTTAATGTTCAGTGAAACCTTGTAATTTTAGGTATCCCCATATGTTTTAACTTCTTGCCACTCCCCAGTTAAGTTGTTTTATTTGTTTTCTTCTGCTGCTTAAAGGGTCAAAAGGAACTTCTATTTTAAAATTTACCAAAAAAGCATGCTAACATATGATACATGTAATATTTAATTACGTAAGGAAAGAAAAAAAAAAGTGAAGGTGATTTTAACCAAGTAAGAATATGAAATTAGTATCTTATATTCAGATGAACGACATCTGCTTCTTAGGATTTGTTCTGTTGTACTCTATTTAGCTAGCATCAATTTATTAGCACGTGATCTCTTTGGCTTGATGATCACTGTACTATTTGGATTTTTATAGTCTGAAAATTATTTGTGTTTGCTTCTTTCTATTTTAGGGTGTCCGGGAATAACTGCTTTAATCTTATCCTCCCGTGTTGTCTCTATTAATCATAGTGGTGATATATGATTTTTGTTTTTCTTAAATGTTGAGCATTGCCTTACATAATGCTAATCTTATCCTCCACTCTGCGCTATTATAGTTCAAATGGGTTATAGGAACAACTTTTTTGATGGAGAGAGCAGATTAGACATGGAAGAAATTTTCTTAGACCTGTAACGTTCAACCATTTGTAGGACACCATGCTCTCGTGGGAGTATATTTGTTGCTTGATTCTTCTTAACATTCTCCCAAGTTAACCAGATTTAGAATGGAAGTTCTTGCTTGCCTAACCTCTCATATCCTGAAAAAAAATTTTATGCAGGGCCATCATTTTTCTATGTTGCAACATGAAACTGAGAAGCTTCGGAATGATATAGAGAAGATGCGTAATGAATTAAGGTCTGTTATATGGTGGCCAACTTTGATCAACTGTACTTTTGGGTTTATTTTCTGATGTTGTGATTTTTATGTGTAAGCATATTGGTTGGGATGCAGATATGAGATAGATAAAGTCACTGCAGGGCAGCGGCTGGATTTGAACCTTGAAAGGGGGTGAGATTTAAATTCCAAAAGATGTTCATGATCAAGTATAATAAGACTTGTGTTAAATAGGATGGTTGTTTTAAAAGTTAATTTTGATTATCGTTTGCAAGTGCAGGAGAATAAGGGATGAATTAAACAATCAGAGTGCTGAAACTACAAATCTGACTAACAAACTTGATAGAGTAAGGATATGTTGTGCATGTGACTCTGAGAAGCATTTTTTTTCTAATTACTCTCATGATTTATGTCTCTCACTGTAATGTAATGTTCAGGAAATTCATGCTTTAAAAGCACAATTGGAAGCAGCAAAATACGAAGTTATAAAATACTGCATAGGGACCCTTGTTTCAATCTCTGCTGTTGGCCTTGCTGTTGTTCGCATTTTGATGTAAACATATGTTGTCCACTAACATTAGGTTGAAAGACCGACCCCAAAGATTAAATTTAAGGAGAGAATTGACTGTGCTATTGGAGCTGGAGGTGAAGACTGCGGCTCCCAGTAGGATGGAAATGGGCCCTTATTTAGCCCCATTTCCATATTCTTTTTGTGTAATTTGTTCGCACCATTGCTTATGGGTTGTTTTCATAGTTTATACAAGCCAGTTCAATGATGATGCATGAGGTCGTTGGATCATAATCCATAATTATCTTCCTTACTGGGGACGAATCATAAATGTCATGGTTATTGCGGTTTAGCTGTGCTTGCAATTACTTCTAGTCTTCCATACATCTTTTGATGATGACCTCTACTTCTACTTCTCCGGTGTGCCGGATAACGTGTGAAAAGAGCACAAGTTGAGGAGAGACTACATAGTGTGAGAAGTCCGTATCTGGTTAATAGGCATCAAGTAATCATTGCTGGAGACGCATTACCCTCCTTCGGCTAGTCTTGACGGTTGAGTGTGGGACTTGGATTTCTTTAGCTGGGAGAACTAATAGATTTATGATTGCATTTAGATTGTTTGAATGTTAAATGTTTATGGTAATGCATGCCTATAAAAATAAAGTGGGTTTAAGGGAGGCATATTACATCGTCATTATGGGGGTGGGAGCGGGTTGTGGTTTGGGACCAAAGGCCAGGTCATGTCTGGGTGAAGCGGATATATGAGACGCCGCAAAGTGAGCTGCGTAATAAATGTGGATGGCCGGTCCGGTCCGGTCGGTTGATAGAATGTGGATGCGAAGGAAATTTCGAGCAACAGGCTGTGATGATGCCAGAGGAGGGAGGGAGTAGGTGGGGAAGGAAGGTAGAACATGACGTTTTGATTGAAAGAGAACCAAAGGAGAAGGAAACGTCATGAGAGGTCAATTTATATGCTGTGAATGCGGCCACCAACTTCCTGCCGTAACCTTGCAATCCCAACAATGCCGCAATTGAAGAATTCGTTCATCTTCACACACCGAATGTGTGCCCTTAAGATTAGGATGATGGGGATCCGTATGTCTCAACTTGTGCCCTAGTTTCTGCTTGAGGCAACTGACAAAGCTGTCCTTTGGACTCAACCATTTTGAAACCGTCCCTCATCTCCTGCGTCATTATCTGGAATAGTGGATTGCTTAGTTTAGCTGACATTTGACTCCTTAATTTTAGAAAGTGTTTGGAAACATTCAAAAATACTTTTTAAAAACACTTTTTTTATAAAACCAGATAAACTCTTTTACATATTTATTTTGTATACCGTAAAAGTACTTTTAAAATTATGGTTTTGATTTCATCCAAACACCCGTTTAGTTTGCCTTTTTATCATCAGCATAGGGCCCTCCTGTTCCCGCTCGAGTTTTACTGAATATGACTTGGGAATATTCAAATTTATTATAAATTTCATTTTGTATTTTATATTCATGTATTAGTATTCACAGTCACCATTACTTAACGGCCAAAATATGACAGAAGTTTTCAAACGGTCATAGATTTTAATATTATACGTCGGTTGTCTTTATTCACTCATTCCGAATCCGAGCTATGAATAAGATAAAGCGGATATTAATTTCAAAATGCCATCTTTATCTCCAAAACATATAAATTTAAGAGGTTGTTTAGTTCGGAATTTTTTTATATTAATTCCTGGTAAAGTATTCTAGCAATTATAATTTCTTTGATAAAGTATTCTAGCAATTATAATTTCTGTTTCGTTTTAGGTTTGTAAATATAGTATAATTTTTGGGGGGAAAACTAATAATAGGTCTCATTAAAGACTGAGTAAATTTAATCTTCAAGAAATGATTTTGTGAAACTTTTCAACCATAGTAATACTAGTTTGGCTCATTAATATAATATCTAATTTATAGTTCAATTTGAACTACAAGTGGGGTACTATGAGAGTTGTTAATATCTTTACATGACTTGTTAAGTATATTATTGAAGTTGTAAAAATACTATTATTTGAATTTTCTGAAAAACCTATTGTTAACTGCTATATTGAACTTGTTGATAGCATTATACAATTTGTTAATCGTGTTACTGAAGTTATAAAAACGTCACTTTTTGAATTTTCTGAAAAACCTGTTGTTAACTGCTATACTGAACTCGTTAATAGCATTAAAAAACTGATTAACCGTGTTACTGAAATTGTAAAAAATTTTTAAAAAAAATAGTTGTCAGCCACTGAAGCTATGTTGACTGGTCATCAGTGAGGATACTTGATTTTTTTAAAAAAAAAATAAAGAATAATATGATTATTTTAGCAAATTTGCAAATCGTGACTTAATCACTCATATCTAAACTTGAATTTTGGAATCATTTTTTTTGGTCATTTTTCCTATTTTAACATTGTTGCGTGTGGATGAAAAGTTTTGTGTTGGTCCAAAAAAAGGTAAAAAGTTTTGTGTTTTCCTTTTGTTTTGTTTGTTTTGGCATCTTTTTTGTTGGTTTTACAATTACAAGGCTATGTTAAAAGTCAAAAACACAATGATAGAAAAGGAAACAGACCATTTAGGAGCATTTAGATATAAGTTTTCTAAAACAACAAAAATGTATGCATTCCTCCACCGTTGGAACTTGTAACCCCAAGGTCGAACCTTGGCTTCTAGAGATCATTGGCGGCCGTTGGCAGGTGAAAGATGAGAAAGCATACTATTCTTCCTTCTTCTGGTAGTGTTTTTTCTGACCATGAAAAGATATGCATTCTCAGAACTTGACATTTTAGGTAAAACTTTGGCCTTTTAAATTAATTTCGAATGTTTTTATTCTAATAAAAGAATAAATTTAAACCGTCCGATATAATTAGATGATTCAATTGAATCAAGCTGCATAATTTTTTCCATTGGAGAGATAGATAGTGTCTAATATTCATGTTTCGAGATAAGGTTGCGATTGCATTTTTATTCCGAGGTAAGTCATTGATCTTCAACAAAGAAAAGGGGCAAATTACAACCGAACGACCTAAATGATTTGGCATAAAGATCAAATGAACAAATGCTTCAAGACAATTAAATCCCCCCAGATTCCTCTTCTTTCTTTGGAATCAATTATTGTTGCTGTTGCTGTTGTTCCCCTTCTTCATATACTCAGTATATATAATTGACAGATATTTCAAAGACCAAAAAAACAAAAACAAAAAACCACAGAGAGAAGGACTGGAATGAGATCTAAGAGAGGTTGCACACCACGCGTTTACTGGGAATGGCAACGAGTCGACTCGCTCTGGGAGCGGTCAGTCCGAACACGTCGCTCATGTCCATCTCACTCGGCTTCATCCCGTCCGGCAATTCCCAAGTGAAACAATGAAGAAGGTGAGCCACCGCCATGTCCAGCGCGTAGAGTCCGAGTTGCATCCCGGGGCATGACCTCCGACCCGACCCGAACGGAATAAACTCGAAATTGCTTCCCTTGAAATCCGCCACGCCCTGTTTCAAAAATCGAGAAGGCTTAAAGGAGTCCGGGTCTTCCCAAGAGTTCTTGTCCCTCCCGATGGCCCACGCGTTGATCATGACACGTGACTTCTTGGGGATATAGTAGCCGGAAACCTCGGCATCTTCGGCGGTCTCATGGAGGAGCAGGGGGATGGGTGGGTGGAGGCGCAGAGTCTCCTTGAGGGCGCATTTGAGGAAGGTGAGCTTGTCGAAGTCGGACTCTTCAACTCTGCGATCCAAGCCGACCACGTTAGCGAGCTCTTGCTGGACCCGCCTTAGATCTTCCGGGTTTCTCATCAGCTCCGCCATCGCCCACTCGATTGCCGACGCCACCGTCTCGGTCCCACCAAACATCACGTCCTGTCATGCATTACCTTTTTTGTCGTCAATAAAAACATAAAAATTTCTCAAACTATATTTTAATTTTAATTTAAATAAAATATTTTTTTGAAAAAAATAATATTATTCACAAGTTCTAAATAATCACAGCTTATTGTTCAAATTTTATATTAGGTTAATATAACTTTTGACCTCTAAATTTGTTATTATTTTGGTTTTATTTTCTAAAATTGGTTTAAGTTTTTATTCGATTATACAGAACAAAGTACCAAAACCTATAATTTAAATTTTAAGAAATTAAAATCAAAATAAAAATAAATTTGAACAACTAAAATTTGTATTAAGCCTTCATGTAATCTATGAAAAATCGTTAACCTAACTTATAATTATAAACTGGTAATTTGTTATATTATACACATTCTATTTGGATGTCATGTCACTTAACTTGAAAATCTTGTGAGGCCAACAGATACAAAAACAATTTACAGCCTACAGGCAATTGCTTGGGATCCGTCGCTGTCACACCTCTTGTATTTGAGGCGGACAATCTCCGCACCCGTCGTTTGCTCCAACAAATAAAAAATAAGAGAGAAGCACAAAGCAAAGATGGTCATGATTTTGTGCTTTTGGTTTCCAGAATCGGCGTTTTGTAATAAACAAAACACGCATGTAGCCATCATCAAAATAGTCACAAATAAATAAAACATGCGTTTTTTCTTGTTCGGGAAAAAAACTAACAAGTTTTCCCCTGCCCTCTGTGGTTTGATGACATTGTAATATACACACAGATCATTAGCAGTAAATGTTTTTCTGTTTTCAAAATTCTATTGAACGATTGAACTGAAACATAGTATCTTCTGGTACTTAATATAGAACTTAGTTGTTTGGTTAAATATAAGACTTATTTCTTATATTTATCAATTTTTTCTAAATTATCACTATGGATACTCCGTTAACCATATCAAGTAGAAGATGAAAGGAAGATATTAAAAAAGATGATTATGGTGTTTTAAAAAAAACATGTCATATTTCTCATAATTAACTAATTTACTTAATTTTTTTAATATAATCAAATTAGTTAAATAGGTCTTATATTAAGGGAGGGGTACTTTAATTTGTGTCTCTTTGGCCGGTGTCGTAACAGTCAGAATCCGATCCCATTAACGTTGAAGAATCTTTTTAATTAACTTAAATTATGCCTCGCCGAGATTGGAGGTGACGGAGAAGCTAAGTGAGGAGAGATTAGCTAGAAGTGGGAAAATGAAGAAAGGGTGATGGATACGTGCGCGGGAGCTTACCATGATGATGGCTTTGATGTTATCCTTGGTGAGTTTGATGGAGTTGTGGAGATCCTCAGACTCACTCACTTGAGCTTCCTCACTGTAAAAAGCCATCAGCTCATCCACCATGTCCGTTTCCTCATCGCCGCAGCCATCGCTTTTACTCCTCCTTTTCTGGATATGCTCGTCGATGATTTTGTCTATGAATCTGTCCAGAGACGCTCGTGCCTTGGCCAGTCTGGCGTTCAGTCCCTGCGGGTCGATCCACCCGAGGTAAGGGATGAAGTCCGCGATGTTGAACGCTCCGAACAACTTGGAGAACTCCTGCAATATCCCTATGAACTCGTCCTGTCCTTCCTGCGAGCTCGACCCGAACGCCGCTCGGTATATTATGTTCTTTGTCAGCGAAAACACCAACTCACCGATATTCACCGGCTTGCTGGTGTTGCTGGCCACGGTGCGCACCACGGTGTCCACCTCGTCTCGCACCGACTGCCACGATTCGCCCCGCTTGCGACTGAAGAGCTTCATGACGCAGACCTTGCGCATCTGGCGCCAGAAGGGGCCGTAGTGAGCGAAGGCCATGTCGGCGCGGTCGTAGGTGAGGTAGCTGATGGCTATGGTGGCGGGTCGGTTGGAGAAGATGTTGTCGTGGACCTGAAGAACTTGGCGAGCGGCGTCGGGGTCGGAGATGGCGACCATGCGGAGGAAGCCCATTTTGAGGTGGAAAACGCCGCCGTATTGGGAGGCGAGCTTGGCCAGGCCTCTGTGGGTGAGCCGGTCCATCATCAGCATGTTGCCGATGATGGGGAGGCCTTTTGGCCCAGGCGGGAAGGGCGAGCGCCGGCGAGATCGAGCGAGGAGGCCGAGGAGTAAGAGGAGCGGGACGATGAACAAGAGCGCCAAGGGCAGGGGCTGGTGCAGAGAATCCATGCGTATGGGTTTTGAGGTGTTGCAACTAAGAGTGTTGCTGAGGCGAGGGAGATATAATGTGCCTTTATATAAACCCCAATGCAGCTATATAGGAGTATTTCATTTTTCTTTTTGAAATTATTAATTGATTGATTCGCTGATGGATCCTTGTAGATAATGGAATGCAATTTTATTAAAGCATGTGATGTATAATTAAGATGAATATAATACTATATGTTAGTTAATATAATTAACCGCCGAATTGTGATATGAACATGATGTATATGATATATAAATTAAAACGAAAAGGGTAACAGTGTAAAAGGAGTTAACGGCCAGCGGGAAGCATTGAAGGAAAGGAGGTAGAAATGTGAGATTTGACAGCATGCAAGTAAACAAACAATTGGGCACCAAATTAAACACGTACGGCCCCTCCCCTCCACTCAACGTATCACCCCAGAAATTTAATCCGTATATTTTTCATTATTACTATTACTAATTCATCATTTATGTTTGGTTATTCTTCACATACACCATAGGTGATTTCTAAGATTTCTTCTGATTACTACAACTTACCCAATCCTTCTCATTATTGTCAGTATCGCCCTAGTTAATAATGCCAAATCAAAAGAAAACTCTCCATCATTATTATACTTTCTTCTTTTTTCCCGTTACATAATTATTATATACTACTATTAACTCTTGGTTTTAAGAATCAAATTATAATTATAATTCTTAAAATTAAATGCAACTTTTCTTAAAAGGATGTTGATGATAATTTTTACCATTGAAAATAATTATTATTTATTAATGCTGAAGGTTCCTAACTCAGAAAATTCGGGTGCATGCAATATATATATGTATGCCGGCTTAATTCGTCTGCTTTGTGTTTCAATTAGTCCGTGGAAATATATGTAGTTTTCTTTGAAGAATGTAAGTGAAGTTTGACAAATATGGGTCGTATAAAGAGATATTTATTGTGAGTTACGTTAATTATATTATTGAAAGTGTGGGATTTTGAAGTTTACCTTCAACTACTTTTTGGATTTTACCTTGTGGATTACGTGTTGTTGGTAGGAAAACAATGAATGAAGGTGGGCGATGGCTTGACCCCTTCCATCAGGCTTTTGAGTTTGAGGAGAAGGGGTTAAAATTAAATAGGAACAACAAATTAGACTACGCAATTTGAATTTTGACCTTTTGATTAAAGAAAAAAACATTGCAATATACGTATGCATATATGTTCAAAAGAATCTTATATAATACACCACAACATTCGTCATTCCTTGAAAAATTAAGTGAAACTTGACTACACATACGACTTTACTGTGTGGAGTGAGCTCAACCCATATTTTTCACATTCCTATCACGCCTTTCAAATCCATCAATCAAAGTACAAGACGACTCATTTTTCAAAATAATACTACGCGTCATGTCCTTGATATATAAACTATTTGATTAATTTAAATCAATTAAATTAATTGTTTGTAATAAATAAATATTATCTTTCTTAAAATATTATTACTAATCAAATATTATTTGATAGAACATTTAATATGTGAAATTATTACAAGGATTGTCATGAAAACTAATCAAATATTATTTGATAGAACATTTAATATGTGAAATTATTACAAAGATTGTCATGAAAAAGATAGATAAATAAAAAAAAAATATTAAAGTCTCATATTTTGAATTAAATTAAAAGTTAAAGAACTCTTATATTAAGAATAGCAAGTGGTTTGTATAAATCCCAATTATGATATTAAATGCATTGGTCTGAAACGTTTTACCTATTTTGAGTCTCTTAAAATCACAACGGTTGACCTGTACTTGTAACCTGTACCGTGTGCAGCTTTCACTTTATATGTCTATGTGCGTGTGTTTCCCCATTCATCACATCCCAAAATGGTGATGATTATACGTACCCTCTTGTATATTGGAATCGCTGATGCACGTCGCCAACATATACATTTTAGAATCGCGCACAGTTTAACTACTCATATGTGTTGGTATACATTTTATTTTATCCATTTTAGAATTAATGATTTTGCTTAATTTCTGCTGAAATTTAAGTATAGTGGGTCATAATAGAGTTGAAACGATTTGGTTGTTGTTGTGCTATTAATTTAAGGAGATAAAAATATAGGGGACAGGTACAGTGATTCTCAGACTAGTGATATTTTTCATGTCGGACAACATTTATGTTAAATTTTTATATTCATTATATGTTAAGTTCATCAATTTTTAAAATATTATCATTAAATTATAAATTTATATTCAAAAAAAGGATACATGAGCCTGCGTAAGTGTAAAGAATTTGACATCATAAATACAAATAAGTTAAATATTTTGTATGCTAAAACTAGAATGTTAGTTTGGATGGGTTGAGAAATAACGAGAAAAGAAATTCAATAAATGATCTGAACGGCGTACAGACACACTGCGTTGGCAGGACGTAGACCCAATGGAATTAATGATGGCTTGTTTCCATTGGATAGGGCCTTATCTTTATTGTCCAGTTCCGTCGTCTCTTCAACTGCAACGAAGACTCCAAATGAATATATATTTTTTATTAATTAATAATTATAGGCTTTGTTTGAAACCCGATATAGTGTGTGATGTTTAAGTTTGCTTTGGTGGGAGTTAATGAGTTTACAGTTTGCTTTCTATGTGTGTTTTGATTTTGCTGCCAAAGCAAGAAAATCTGAAAGGCGTGAAAAACCGGTGGCTATCGATCTGCCTCTAGTTTTGTCTTTCCTATCGCAATATCATGTGATCCGACCACTTCATCCCCCTCCGCAATATTGATATCAGGCTCGCGTCGTCAGATATCTTGTCGCCTAACAATATTTGATGCGTTATCAAGTCATTTGGTATCCATCTATCTATCCAAATATTTACAGCTCATTCCTGTGTTGCCAATTATTAATTAATTAATTAATTAACAGTTGTGAAACAGACTTCATGCATAAATATGTATATGTAGGTGACAAAAATAGGTCGAACCTAGTGATCACTCATCGGCCTCGAAAGCTGACAGATTTGATGTCTCACCTTATTACTGTAAACCAAGGGTCACTCTCTTGGATAGACATCCTAGAACCATTGACGGCGTCGTTTCACCGTTATACGGATCTCTCCAAACTTCCTCCCTTCTTCATTCCCCTTCTTCATTTTACTCATCATAACCCATACTCTCAGGCCCACATAATTCCATTCCCCAGCCCCATGGTTCCTGAAAACTCCAGTAACTCTAATTTGAAGCGCTCATTAATGGTCAACGAGTCTCCGTAACATAAGAATAAGCTAATATATTTGCTGTTACTGTATGTTCATTCAAAGCGTGCTGTGGTTACAGGACAGGACCGGAGAAAAGGCATGGTATTCGCGAACTGAATTTTTATAATGATTATGTATATGCTTGCAGAAAAGGAAGTCATGCTGGATACGATGGTTGCATGAGTTCTTTTCCAGGGATGAATGATAATTTTGATTAAAAAAAAAAGAAGTTTATATCTGTCTGTATTAACAAATTAAATTCAATGAAATTATGGGTGTTAGGACTCGAAGGATCTTTCGTTACCAGAAATTGTGAAAAGAACCCTTATGAAAGTGGTAGAACTCGGGGGAATGAGGTGGCGACCGAGGAGCTGACCACGTCATAACGTAGGGTTATGAAGTTGTGGATTGTTGTGGGATCCACATACATGGAGAGGTTATTTTGATTGTAAGAAAAGTAAATACTGGGCAGAAACTTCTCCGCACGCACTGACACGCTTCTTGTTCATTTTATTGACCATGTACGGGAATACTAATCGGTCTGAGCATTTATAATAAATGCAAATCTATATGACTGATTTGATTCCAAAAATACGATCACTTCCAAAAATAATAGAATTTAAATCACAAACTAGACATGTATTTACAGAGTTACATACTCCTCCTCCGGTCCTTAATATAAAACCTATTTAATTAATTTGATTAGATTAAGGAAGTTAGGTAAGTTAGTTAATTATAAAAAAGTGACACATTTTTCCTAAAACACCATAATCATCTTTCTTAATACCTCATCTCCCTCTTCTACTTGACTATTGTTGAGGGAGTATCCATAGGGGTAATTTAGAGAAAATTAATAAATATGAGAAATGGGTCTTATATTTAGAACCAAAACCAACTCAATAATTAGGTCCTATATTAAGGACCTGAGGAGTATATATATATACACACACAAGGTATAATGCTTTTGCAATATAAATAAATTTGAAAAAAAAGGGCCATTTTATGCAACAATATGGACATGTGAAAATACAGATTTTCCCTAAAATGGAATAGAGAAGGAAGGACAGGAGCGGGTTTGCGTTGGGCTTAGCCATACATGCGAAGGAAGGGAAAGTTGCGGGAATTTAATTAAGTGATTAGGTTCTTCTGCTTCTACTTTTCTTTTTTTTTTACTACTTTGGTCTCATCATTGTGTTTGTGGTTTTTATAATTTGACTGCTTTTCATCAATTTAGCGAAATAATAATAATAAATTCCCTTCAAATTATATATATTGTGTCAGGCCGCGCATGTTCGTTGTTAAGATGGAATTTGAATTGTTTAAATATAAATATAAATTTCATAGTTCAAAAAAATTATATATAATTTTTTTAAAAATAAATTAAATGTGTTATTTTAGATTTTGTACACACACACATATATGTCAATTTTAAATCTAGGCCGAACGGTGTTATCAATGGAAAAACGTAAACGTGGAAACCCACTTTACTCCGTATCAATATCCACTAAATCCCTTGCCCTACTTTTTTGATTTGTTCCATTGTTCTTTGAATTCATTTGCTTGTCAATATCATATTAAATATTACAAAAAAAGTCTCCATATTAAAAAAAATTTCCGCAATTCTTTTGTATTTACAATAATAAACTTTTCTTACAACTTATTTTCAGAACTTCTAGATATTACACGCATACGACTACCACGCTAACTTTTTGGTGTTCACATGATTACATTACATTCTTTTTCAATCCCCATCCAACTAATAACCTTTAAGCGTGAACTTTTGGTTTCATGTTATGG